CTTCCCTCCCCCCCCCCGCCCCCCCCCCCAAATCAATGCTTGGGCTCTAGGGCCTGGTGAGCATGGCTGGCCCAAGACACACTGCTTTTCCTTGAGATGAAGACAGACGCACGCACACAGAGGTGCTGCCTTCACATCCCACAATACATGCACGTCCGTGTGCCATTAAGTCCATTCTGACTATGATGACCCCCTTTTCAGGGTTTTCCAGGTGGAGAAAATATTCAGATGTTCCCTTCTTCTGGGGGAGCCTTGGGACCAATGTGCAGCTGGCCCGAGGCTACCCAGGCTGGCTCTTCTCCCAGACAGGCCCAGTGGGAGAAATCGAACTCTCACCCTCTGGCTCCACAGCCCGATCCCTAAACCACCAAGCCATCTGGGCAGCCACAACACACAGAAGGCCATTAAACTAGCCATTGAATTTTTTTTTCAACAATGACCATGGGAAGTGTCATGGAATTCACCCCAAGCCAGCCAACAACGATGGGGTGAGAAATTTCCTGGCCATGCCATTGACCTCCTTGTCAAGGCTCTGGCGTGGCCAGGAAAGTTCTCTCCTCCCAGGGCTTTGAAGCCGCTTCTCCGCTTTTACTGCTTCAGGCAACCCCTTCTCCTTTCCCCTCATCACAGGGCCTTCTGTGGGGTGGACCGAACTTGGTCCCAGAGCTCAGAAATTTTAATTTCAGATGTTTGAAGTGTGCCCGGCTGGAGGATTCTGGGAGTCAGCATCCAAAACAAGGATTCCAAACTCTACTTGGTCCTTTTCCTTAGACGCACAAGGATTTCCATCAAGACCTGTGGGGCAGATGTTCCTGGTGGGGGGGTGGGGTGGGATTCGGGGTGGGGAGTTGCTGAGTCTCACTTCCATCATGTGTTGAATGGTTTTCCATTTCAGCTCATCTGTCACTTCTTGCTGCCATTCACATAGGCATTGTTAGAGCTTTGACAATTGCTGCGCTGTGTGTGACTGTGTATGTTTGTGAATGTCGGCTTTAACGGCCCATGTTGCTAAGTTACGTGCTTAGGGTAGCGGGTCTTTTCCTTGAGACGAAGACAGACAGACAGACGCGCACACACGGAGGTCCTGCCTTCACATCCCACAATGCATGAACGTCCATGTGCCATTAAGTCCATTCTGACTACGATGACCCCTTTTCAGGGTTTTCCAGGTGGAGAAAATATTCAGACGTTCCCTTCTTCTGGGGGAGCCTTGGGACCCATGTGCAGTTGGTCCAAGGCTACCAAGGTTGGCTCTTATCCCAGACAGGCCCAGTGGGAGAAATCGAACTCTCACCCTCTGGCTCCACAGCCCGATCCCTAAACCACCGAGCCATCCGGGCAGCCATGATACACAGAAGGCCATTGAACTTCCCCCCCCCCAACAATGACCACGGGAAGGATTGTGGAATTCACCCCAGGGCAGCCAACGACATTGGGGAGAGAACTTTCCTGGCCACACCAGAGTCTTGACCTCCTTGTCAAGGCTCTGGCATGGCCAGGAAAGTTCTCTCCTCCCACAGCTTTGAAGCCGCTTCTCCGCTTTTACTGCTTCAGGCAACCTCTCTCCTTTCCCCTCATCGCAGGGCCTTCTGTGGGGTGGACAGAACTTGGTCCCAGAGCTTGCAAATTTTAATTTCAGATGTTTGAGGGGAACCCGGCTGGAGGATTCTGGGAGTCGCCATCCAAAATAAGGATTCCAAACTCTACTTGGTCCTTTTCCTTAGACCCACAAGGATTTCCATCATCTCTCTCTGTTTTGCATCTCTCGTTTAGCACGACCTCTCCCCCCGCAGCCCCGGCCCTCCCCGTCTCCCATGCATGCACTGATTTGTAGTGTTGTGTGGAAATGCTACCTTATTTGTTAATTGATGGGCGGTTGAATGGCTCCATGCATGGGAGCATCTTTCCTTCATAGCCTCCTGGAAACTAAATAGAGCGTGCATTTCTTTCTTTGCTTTGAGCTGACTCTGGGCTTTCACAAAGAGACATAGAAAAATGTAGGAAGCTATGTTTTCTCCATGAATTCGCCACCATGTCAGGAAAAGGTTTCCCCAGCGTCATTTGTTCCTGCCTCTGAATTCAAAGAGAGTGCCTCTTCTCTGCTGAATGTTATTTTCCTCCCCTCTATAGTGTGTTGGAAGTCAGTTAGTTGTTAGTTTGCTGATTCCAGCTGTCAGTGAATGAAACCTTTTATTCTTTCTCCTACCAATGTCTCAGAGTGAGTTACTGACACGGTCAGTGACAGTTATTGAAAAAAAAATTGGACTAATCTTGGGGGAATCTTGAAGGTATTCTGCTCTGTGAACCCCTGTATTTCTGCTGCATGGCTAGAGGATCATCATCCATCTTGGAAAGAAGATGAGGATTTGGCAGCATCCTTAGATCAGAGGTGGTCTTTTCAAGATTCTGGTCAATACTGGCAAAAGGTCCCAGATCCTGATCTTCCCTTTATTACCTCTGTGTTTTCATAGCAACTCTGCCCGGAGGTTTCCAAGGTGACCCCCCCCCCTCATCTGGCTGCCATGTCAGGCCCTTTGCTCAGCACCACCCATCACTCCCAGCACCAGCCAGGATTGTCCGGAGGGTGCAGGTTAAGGGGTGGGAGCAGCAGGTTAGCCGGAAGGAAGCACCGAAGATCAGCTCCAATTAGCCGAGAAGTAAGTCGCGCAAAGTAATTCTTCTGAGGAAGCAGAAGCTGCTCCCGCCATTTCTGGTCATAAGGAGGCTTCGGGGTGCACTTCATCCAGGCTCAACGGTCCCTTCTGCGTTCCAAGGACCTCTGGGGAAGGTGGTCCCTAGAGATTCTCAGAATCCTCCCGGAACGGCAGTTCTCGGAGTTCTCGGGGGGGGGGCGGCCTTCATAGGTGCATCCGGTGGGGACACAGGGGCCTTCTCTGTGGCTGCTCCCAGAGACTGTGGAACTCCCTCCCACAGGAGGCCAGCCTGGCCCCATCTTCGCTGTCCTTCCGCAAGCAACCAAAGACCTTTCTCTTAGGGGCAAGCTCTCCCTTAGTGACTGGCTATCTAAGAGCGGTCTTAAAATGGGTTGATTTATATTTTTCTTGTTTTTAAATCTGCTTTAGTGATATTTTTAATCCAACACTTTAAGATGGTGGTGTTTATTTAATTTTTAAAAAATATTTGGATAACCTACTGTTTTTAGCCTTCCAGTGGCGTCTCTTTTTAAACATGTGTTTAGCCTGCTTGGGTCCTTTCTTAGGAGAACGGCTGGGTAATAATATTTTAAATAAAGAAATAATAAATATGCAGGGTGGGGGTGGGTTTCATCCTCCTGGCCGGAAGTACATAAAGCATGAAACAGAGGTGCTGCTCAGTGGGAGCTGAGCATTCCAGCCCTAAACAATAAACCACTCCATGGCATCATCATCCACCTTGGAAAGAAGACGAGGATTTGCCAGCATCCTTAGATCAAGAGTGGTCCTTTTTCAAGACTCGGGTCAATATTGGCAAAAGGCTAAGAGCCCAGATCCTGATCTTCCCTTTATTACCTCTGTGTTTTCATAGCAACTCTGCCTGGAGGTTTCCAAGGTGACCCCCCCCATCTGGCTGCCATGTCAGGCCCTTTGCTCAGCACCACCCATCACTCCCAGCACCAGCCAGGATTGTCCGGAAGGTGCAGGTTAGGGGGTGGGAGCAGCTGGTTAGCCGGAAGGAAGCACCGAAGATCAGTTCCAATTAGCCAAGAAGTAAGTCCCGCAATGCGAAAGCATGTAAAAAACGCGAGTAGATAAATAGGTACCACCTCGGTGGGAAGGTAACAACGTTCCGTATCTAGTCGCGCTGGCCACGTGACCACGGAAACTGTCTACAGACAAAACGCTGGCTCTACGGCTTGGAGACGGGGATGAGCACTAAGTGTCAAGGGAAACCTTTACCTAAGTCACGCAAACTGATTCTTCTGAGGAAGCAGAAGCTGCTCCCATCATTTCTGGTCATCTGGAAGCTTTGGGGTGTACTTCATCCAGGCTTAACGGTCCCTTTTGCGTTCCAAGGATCTCTGGGGAAGGTGGTCCCTAGAGATGGCCTGCTCAGCTCAGCGGAGAGTTCTCAGCATCCTCCCGGAATGGCAGTTCCCGGAGTTCTCCGGGGGCTCCCATGGAAAGACCTCCTTCTGAGCCAACGTTCCCAAGGCGGAATGTTCTCTTTGCACTTTGAGGCTTGCATTTAAAAGAAAAAGACTCTAGGTCTTGGATCTTAAAACAACAGGGGCAAATACATCCAGATTTTACAACACCCCCCCTTTGTTCCTAATTATTATTATAATAGCACGCCATCAAGCCAATTCTGACATAGAGTCATTTTTGTACCCAGTATGACCAGAGGTATGTTAACTAGAGGATTCTGGTTTGTAGTTCTTAAAATAATTTTAAAAATCTGAGTAACTGGGGGAGGATTCCCTTTTTTTCACTATATCAGCTTTTTAAAAAAAAACTGCAGGAAGGAGAGTGCAAGAAAGGAAACGTTTAAAAACTATTCGTTCCTCCCCTCCATCATCTGTGGTCCTCATCTGGTCCCTGCAACAATAATTGGAAGGCTCCAGGGAGTGGCATATTTTTAAAAATTAAGATACAGTGGAACCCAACTATTCATGAGGAATTGACTCAAAGCCCCTCCCTATACTGAAAAATGCAAAACACTATATGTACATGGCATGGTCCCTGGCTCCATCTAGTAGCCAGTTCTGATAATGACGCCATGAAAATCTTTCTTTAGTGAACACTATCAATAACATGGTCTGTTTCTCCCTCTAGTGGCCAGTTATGGTAACTTCATCATTAAAAAAAATTGAGATTTTTCTTTTAATATTTTCAGACAGTGGATAGGTGAATGAGTGGGTACTGATCCTGCAGATAAAGGGGGTCCTATTGTAATGAGTCAAATTCACTTTAGCCCCATGTGTGTGCGTGTGAACCCCGTCAAAAGAAACGGTTCCTGGAGGAGAACCCGGTTTTTCTCTTGGTCTGAATTTGCCCTGAGCAGCTCCATCTTCTTGCCCCAGTTGCAGAATGGATTTGCGCAGTTACTCGGGAGAGGAGGAGGAGGAGGGCATCCTCAGAGCCGCCCCACCAGCCCTTGGATGGGAAGATCCTGACCTTTCTGGCAGCAGCCCAAGCGGGCTGGAGCTGAGCCAGGGGGACTTTCCGGACGAGTCCGCCGACTCTCTCGCTGACGAAAGTGGCCCCATCCTGAGGTGCCTCAAGAGGATCTACCGGAAGGCGAAGAAGGAAAAGACCAGGCGGCGAAGAACCATGACGTCAGGTAAAAGGGGGGAGGGGGGAGGAGGAGAGCCATGGCATAATCAAGCAGAAGAGCAACAGAGCCGGGGGGGGATCCTGTACCCAATGGGGCAGTCAATCCGTCTAGAATCTTGGAAAGCTATCAGCCGTCAGACTTGACAGCACAGCACCCCACCAACTCTTAAGACGATCAGGACTAAACTTTTCCCTACAAGGCCAACTTAAGGAAGTGGTCCAAATTATGTATTCGCTAAGACGATCAGGACTAAACTTTTCCCTACACGGCCGACTTCAGGAAGTGGTCCAAACTATGTATTCGCGAAGGCTTTCACGGCCGGGATCTAATGGTTGTTGTGGGGTTTTTGCTACTCCAGTCCTCTGAAGATGCCCATGGCCACAGAGACTGGAGAAACGTCAGGAAGAACAGCCTTCAGAACACGGCCAAGGAGCCCGAAAAACCCACAACAACCATTTGGTCCAAAATAATTTACAACAACATTCAAAATATGATTCATTGTCACCAGTTGTGGCTATGTTTAAAATCCTTCATTTCTTGACATTCTGAATTGGTTGACATTCTCAATTCCTAATACCTTTTCTTTTTATTTGGGGGAAATTTAAGTGGATAAGAGAAGAGCCTGAAGTGGGGAAAATCCTGGTAAAGTGCCCCTAAAACCAGTCCTTTTAAAATAAACATACAAAGTGAATAAATCATCACCCTTAGCACTGATAAAGTAGCTTTACTCCCGTGCTTTTCATTACAGTGGTGCCTCGCTAGACGATGATAATCCATTCTACTGAAATCGCTGTTTAGTGAAATCATTGTCTAGCGAAAAGCATTTCCCCATTGGAATGCATTGAAACCTGTCTAATGCGTTCCAATGGGGAAGAATCGTCGTTGTCTAGCAAAGATCGGCTGTAGGAAAGCTGCTTTACGAACCACCGGTCAGCTGTTTAAATCGCTGACTTGCGAAGCTTAGGTCCCCAAAAAAACCCTGTTTGTGAGCTTGGAGGGAGCTGTCAAAATCATCGTCTAGCGAAAATTGGTTTGCGAAGCAGGGACCAAACGTTGTCCAGCAAAATTCCCACATAGGAATCACTGTTCTGCGAATCGCTATAGCGATCACAAAAAGTCAATGTCTAATGAAAAAAACTGTCATGCGGGGTAACTGTCTAACGAGGTACCACTGTACTTTAGAAAGGTAGCCTTGTTACCACCCGCCAACAGCAATTCGTCATAGATGACGGGGGTTTCTTTTAACTCTTAACTTCCAACTTTGGCCAAATGCAACTCTACACATCATGCGAGGCTCAGGCAGAGCCAAAAACAAGACGTCTGATCCCACAGGGCAGGAGGTCACAATTTTGGCCCATTGGGGTGCGGTCTGGTGTGATCTATTCCCTGTTGATCCCATGATGTTCAGGGAATTGAAATCTGGACTGTGCCCAAGATGGAAGGGCAGGTTGCTCCTGTTCAAGCAACTCTTCCTGTAGCCGCCAGGCCCACGGGTCTGATTGCACCCTAAATAACAGAGCAAGTTACCAAAAAAGGAGGATGAAAAAAAGACAGGAATCTGCATTCCATCGCCTATGATGCTTTATAGAGGCAGAGGCAAAATTAGAAAGGGTTGTTCTAGTGCAAATGGAATCAAAGTGCACCTTACTTGAATAAGGAACCACTCGAGCATCCTTTGAACATAATACCCCCGGGGTGAACGCATCGTTCCTTATTGAAGGGCATCTTGGCTATTATTTGGAGCATGGAGCATTTTCTTTTTATCTGACACCCCCCCCCTTCCCTTCTCTTTCTTTCTCTTTCCTCTTGCGGGCTTAGTCCCTGATCTCTCTGCCATGGCAACCATATGGGAAGAAAACGAGCCACCTGCTTCCAGGCAGGAGCCGGAGCGCTTGCTCGCATCCTGGAGAAGCAGCATGGACTATTTCAACTCTAAAAAAGAGGTATGGAAAAATCTCCACCCGGCCCATCCCTCCATCTAATCCAATTCGCCCATCAAGTACACTTTAGGCCACCCGGGCACATGGGAGGGGGCCCTTTTTTGCCAAATGGGGACCATTCCCTATTTAAAGAAAAATATTCTAACACAAGAAGCCTTGAAGTCCATCTGGCAAATCAGCCTGCTTTGGTTTGCAATTGTTCAGCTGAGAGATCGCATGCCTGTATGTCTAAGGTCTTGGGCATGTAGCACTGAAAGGTTTGTGTGACTGGAAGGACAGTGCTGTCAGAAGGTGAACTAAAGGTTTCCCTTCTCTCTGGACATCACATGTAGCACTGAAAGGTTTGTGTGCCTGGAAGGACAGTGCTGTAAGAAGGTGAACTAAAGGTTTCCCTTCTCTGCTTTTTGCTGGGAATGATGGCTTTGAAACCTGTATTGGCCCATTGGGTGGCTTCCATGGGTCAGAGGAACCCAATTATCCTGCTTTGCCAGACCTCAGTTGCTAAAAAAAAAACACATAGCCCATGTTAAACCTTAGCTGCTGCCTTCTGGCTCCTGATCCCACCATGTTACACCACAGTTATTTATTATCCTTTCTCTTCTCAACCGATGGAGAGCTCAGTGGTTTAAGGGTGGTTGGGAGTTCGATTCCCCGCTATGCCTCGTTGACAAGGGCTGGACTTAGGGATCCATAGGGTCACTTTCAGCTCTGCAGTTCTAAGATGATGATTATGATGATGATGATGATCACCAAAGACAGTTGACAGTTGTGTACGTTGCAGAGCTTAGAAAGATGATTTTTGGTGGGGGAGGGCAAGGGGGGCTGAGATGATAACTCCTGGTCCCATTCATTTCAGAGCCATAAGGAAGGGCCTTCTCCATGTTCTGCAGCTTTCTTCAGAAGAAGCTTAGAAGAGCATTTCAGAGCCATAAGGAAGGGCCTTCTCCGTGGTTGCTTCCATATTCTGCAGCTTTCTTCTGAGGAAGCTTAGAAGAGTTCTCTCTCTGTTGCCCTTCCTTTAGCCAACAAAGATCTTTTTTATTATTTCATCAGGTCCTTGGCCCCTTCTGAGTCTGAAAGACATTCTGACTGACTCAAAGATTTGGGATTTTTTTTTAACTAGCTTGTGTTTTAAAGTTCTACTTTTATTCTGCTTTTGTGTTTCAATGACGTTTTGTTTTTGTACGACTGTTCTTATGCATTAACGCTTTAGGCACCGTTTTGCAAGTGGGATATAAATTTGTCACATATTTAATATATAAGCCTCAATATCCATTTGTGCCTTTCCAGTAAACAGTTAGTCTTCTACACCAGTGGTCCTCAACCTTGGGCCTCCAGATGTTCTTGGACTACAACTCCCAGAAGCCTTCACCACCACCTCTGCTGGCTAGGATTTCTGGGAGTTGAAGTCCAACAACATCTGGAGGCCCCAAGGTTGGGGACCAGTGCTCTACACCATGGCATCACCCCTTCCCAGTATTTCTGAATAAAGGGACATTTGCATGAACAAAAGAACGGAACTTTGCGATATCTGCTAATTTCTGTTCTTCGGTTCTAATATTGTTGGTAATTCAAAACTGCTACGAGCGAGGTCTGCTTTCTCCTGTCTTTTCATCGGCTTCCCCTCTCCTCCATTTGCTGTAGGATGTTGTGATGAAGAAAAGTTTTTTCCGGTTCCTGTCTGTACTCAGCAAGACAATCAACTGGAGTAACATGACCGAATTCTTCATGGATAATTTCACCTCTGATGTTGTGGCCGCCATAAGTGTGAGTTAATTGTGAGCAAACACAATCCGCACATCCTCCTTTCCATCCCTCTCACATCTTCATCTTTTAAAACACGGGACCCAACAATATTTAGCCATGTCATCAACTACGCATTAAGTCGTGAGCAAACACAATCCGCACATCCTCCTTTCCATCCCTCTCACATCTTCATCTTTTAAAACACGGGACCCAACAATATTTAGCCATGTCATCAACTACGCATTAAATCATCCTTTAAAGAGACACAACAGCCTGGCTGACTGTGGTTTCCTTAGCAGCGGCCGTGGGTTGGACAAGCCTGCTTTAAAGAGACACAACAGCCTGGCTGTTGCTAGAGACATCAAGAGACCCAGGGTGGTTCTGGCGTCCCTCTTGGTTTGCTGAATTTTTAGAGCCTTCTTGCCTTCACGAAGCTCAAGGGGGCAGATATGGCTTCCTTCCCCCTACTTCATCATCACAGCAGTCTTATGAGGTAGACCAGGCTGAAAGATTTTGACCAACTTAACATCGCCCAGTGAGCTTAACAGCCGAGCGGGGATTTGAACCCAAGCCTCTTGAGCTGTAGTCAAGAGGCTATGCCTGCTGGTCAGAGGAGATAATTTTTGAAGAAGCATCTCTTGGGGAGGGAACGTAGGTCCGGCTGGGTCCTTCTTGTTTCTGTGCAAAACTGGAAGCATCGCCCTCAAAAACAGGAAGAAAGAATTCATGAGGATTCACAGGGTAATCCTCCACAAATCATCTTGGCCCCCCCGGGGTCTTGTGTCCTTAGAATGCCTGGAATCCTTTCAGTGTTCACATACAGTTTGTGTCACTTGCCCCTTGCTAATTGCGGCTAACTGGCCAAATGCCTGGTTGTGTGTGTGTGTGTCTCAATTGTGTGCCTGCTTGTTTAACCCAATTGCACAACCAAAGTCCACACACACTGACATCTTCTTCATTTAGCGGCAGTAAGTGGGAGCAAATTGCAGAATCGGCATTAAAGTTCTGGCCATCGTATGGCCAGAAGCTCGAGAATGTCCGTAGACCTCACCTGTTGCACCCTAAGTTGCACAACTCAAGATGCAAGAGATGATGCCTACAGACATTGGTTAATTTAACGGCAGCTGCCTTCCAAACGTTACACCTCTTGCATCACTCTGCAACAGGATTCTAGCTGCTGTTTCGGCCACAATGCCCAAGCAGGCCCCTTGTTCACCTGCTGATCAGCCTGGCTTCCAAAGGCTATTTCTGGATATGCAACATTGATCTCATTGGGATAATTTCCTCCCTTCATTTACAGGAGATGATCAAGAAAGAACTTCCAGAGCCCAACATTGTCTGTCTTCATGCCATGGCCACCGTTATTGACCTGAGGTAGAGTTGCTTCTTGTTTCTTTTTAGACTGAGCCCACGACTGGTTTCTAAACTCCTGCCCCACTGCTCACAGCCTTCAAGATTTCAGCTGTTGCTCCTGAAAAAGGAATCAGGCTGGACTGCAATATGAGGAAATATCATTGGCCATGTTTGTGCTGCTGGTTCGGTCTCCGCTGATTTAATGCAATGGTTTCCATTAGAGATGTCTACTCACGGCCATAACCTTACATGTCAGTTGGCAGCTACAGTATATGCCTTCCAGATATACTGACAAACAGCCTCCATAATCTCACAGCCTGCATGTCCAGTAGATCTGGAAGTCACCAAGCGGAGCACAGCTGTCAGCTGCTGTTATAGTCTGATACTCTTTTACTATGGACACCCGAGCAGTTGCATTTATTTAGTTTTTATTTTTTCTAAAATATTTTTACTATGCCTTTTTATCCTTAAAGAAGAACCGAGGTGGCTTACTTCCTTAAAAGACAGTCTTTAAAGCTAAAAAGAGTGAGGAGACAGATACTAAAAAAGATCAAACGAATACCATAGTAAAAAAAAAAACTAAATAACCCCAGAACACATTCAAAGTAGTGGGGTACAACAATCCATTTAAAAACCCTGCCACTCAGGGAAACACTGCCTGAAGTCCTTAAAGAAGAACCGAGGTGGCTTACTTCCTTAAAAGACAGTCTTTAAAGCTAAAAAGAGTGAGGAGACAGATACTAAAAAAGATCAAACGAATACCATAGTAAAAAAAAAAACTAAATAACCCCAGAACACATTCAAAGTAGTGGGGTACAACAATCCATTTAAAAACCCTGCCACTCAGGGAAACACTGCCTGAAGAGAAAAAGGCAATCCATTTAAAAACCCTGCCACTCAGGGGAACCCTGCCTGAAGAGAAAAAGGTCTTGGCCTGCTTGTGGAAGGACATCAAAGAAGGGGCCAGCCTGGCCTCCAGTGGGAGGGAGTTCCACCGTCTGGAAGCAGCCACAGAGAAGGCCCCTCTCTCGTGTCGCCACCAAACTGACTGGTGAAGAGGGTGGGACCCAGAGAAAGGCCTCCCCGATGCTCTTAACACTTGAGCAGGCTCCTAAAGGGAGATGTGGTCCTTTAGATAGCTTGAACCCAAGCCATTTAGGGCTTTATAAGTTAGAACCAACCCCTCGAACTCAGCCTGGAAACGGATCAGCAGACGGTAGAGCTGCGACATCAGGAGGTTTTGTGAGCAAACTGGCTGCTGTGTTTTGTACAATTATATTAATAGCAAGTGTTATTTTTCTAGGGAAGGAAATGGTAGACACTGCATTTTTTGAACACTTGTTGTTCACTGCAGTCCTGCCAATTCGGGAAAACTGGCTCTTTTTTAACCCCGGGGGGGGGCAATGGGAAGGGGTATCAACAGATGGAAACAGTGTTTTACCAAGTCTTCTGCGTCTGCTTGCGTAAGATTAGCGTTGTGTGGAACACACCCAATTCTGTGAGGAGTTTCTCAATGGAAAATTTGAGCAGCGCACCCGCTACCCGATGGAGGAAGATGGATGAGTAACATTTTACTGAGCTTGTCTGTTCGGGGGGACCGGCTTAAATGACAGCCGTCTCGTTTGTGAGTGGGTGTCGTTTCCCTGGAGATCAAGACCGAAATGCTTGGGAGAAGCTGGTCTACTTTATGCAAAGAGTCTTAAGGTGTCCCATGGCTGGTGGCAATTTGCTTTATGTACACATGAGACTGGTGAATCGTTAGGAAAAACCATCTTCAGAACATGGCCAAGAAGCCCGAAAAACCCACAACCACCGTTGTCCCATGGCTGTTGGCAATTTGCTTTATGTACACATACAAAACTGTTAATGCCTCTCCTCAAATTCGTTCTTGCTTTTGAATGGATGCTTTTGAACTGTGGCGCTGGAGGAGGCTCTTGAGAGTCCCCTGGACTGCAAGGAGAACAAACCTATCAATTTTGAAGGAAATCAACCATGAGTGCTCACTGGAAGGACAGATCCTGAAGCTGAGGCTCCAATGCTTTGGCCCTCTCATGAGAAGAGAAGAATCCCTGGAAAAGACCCCGATGTTGGGGAAGTGTGAGGGCAAGAGGAGAAGGGGATGACCGAGGACGAGATGGATGGACAGGGTCATCGAAGGAACCAACATGAATTTGACCCAACTCCGGGAGGCAGTGGAAGGCAGGAGGGCCTGGCGTGCTCTGGTCCGTGGGGTCATGAAGAGTCGGGCACGACTTAATGACTAAACAACAACAACTTTTACATTTTTTTTCTTGTTGAATTTTTTAAAAGCCATTCTTTTCCCTATGCTTTCAGTCCAGCAGTCGGGGTATAGTGCTTCTGGAGGCCAAGTCGGAGCACTTTTCCAGATGAGCTGCGTTGCTCATCCGAAAGGGCATTGCTCCCAGCAAAGGGACCCTGTTGTGTGCGGTCAAGACACAACCTCTTTCTCGCCGTCTAATTGCACCCACTGCTTACCCAGGGTGATGAAGCACATGGAGCACTAGAGGATTTCCTTCCTCAAATATGGATCTACCGGACAGAACCTGAAAGGTTGCGTACCCGTGGAAAAGCATTTGTTGCTCATCGTAGTTCATACCTGCTGAGATTGTTCAAGCCTGTGGTTCATTCAGCTCTTCCACCTACATCCACTATAGAAGGAATGAGGGTTATGCTGTAATATTTACAGTACTCAGGGTGCAAAAATAAGATACAAGACGTGTGCATCAGTATGTCCCTATTTTGAGTGAGAAAAGGTCCCTCCCTCTCTATTTCCCCGTTTCCTTCGTTTTCCAGCCAGGTAAAAGAGAACACTGACCATCCATAAGCCTGTATCTTATAGTAACCTGAGAGTTCAAGAGGCCTCTCCTTCTGTGGTCAAACTCCATCCTTCAAAATACAGGTTAATTTGGGGGAAGAAAAAGCATTCACAGAATGGAAGATGTGCAAACATCCCACAAATTGGGTTTTCGAAGAAGTAGCCACTTCCCCGCACCAAATCCGGGAACGTGTATGTTCAGGGTATCTCTAATTACTGGCTTGCTGGCTTTTTCATTTTTGTTGTTGTTTGTGAAAGTAACGGTCCAGTGGCGCAGAACGAAAGGATTGTGTGTCTGTTGTGTGCGGAGGGGGCTGTGTTTTGAGGCAGTTCCTTGTCAACGCTGTAACTAGGAGCCTTTTTTAAAACAGGATGCGGAATTATAGGGTGTCGTTCCAAAGCACAGCAGCCACCAAGGCTGTTCTTGAGCTTTTTTTTCTTGAATTAAGGATCAGAGATTGTGGGATGCAGCAGAACGAGTGGAGAGCAGCACCTATTTTGGGGTTTTTTTTTCCCCTTAAAAGAGCCTGATTATTTTTTCAGAATTTGCCCCGGGGGAGGCAGTTTCATACCATTAGAGGACTAAAAAGCGATAAGCAGGTCTCTGAAGGGTCAGAACAAGGAGGGGGGGCATGGATGAGGTTGCTCTGCGTTGGAAGGTCAATGGAAAGATCACCCAATCAATACATAATACACGAAATGCCAAAATGTGCTTTTCACCTCCTCCAGCAAGGGGCATATAATGAAAACCATGGGATCCTACAAGAAGGGTATCTTACTCCGGACGTTCTTCAGGAGCGTCTTCTCCCTTTCTCCTGTGAAGGCAGGACAAGAGGAAGGAGCAGCTGATCTTCAATACACGAAGGTAGTCCCATCCACCTCCTGGTCAGATACTTCCTTACACATATGGGTGTGATTTTTGGAATTAACAAAACCCCCAGTTCCATACTTTGGCAGGAAACCCCTAACTGGCATCATGAGATACACATATGGGTGTGATTTTTGGAATTAAGAAACTCCCCCCAGTTCCATACTTTGGCAGGAAAGCCCTAACCTGCATTGTGAGATTAGGAACTCATTAATTCCAAAGATCTCATAACAGTTTACCAGTGTGCAGGTGCTTCCCCCCCCTCCCCCTACATCCCAGAAGTTACTTTATTAAGGAGTACAAGTGCAGGAGTGGACAGAGCACGCCAGGCCCTCCTGTCTTCATGGGACTTCATGATTGGGAACTCATTAGGAACTCATTAATTCCTAAAATCTCATACCTATTTACCTTCCCTCCCTCCCCCTACAGTACATCCCAGAAGTTACTTTATTAAGGAGTACAAGTGCAGGAGTGGACCACTTTATAGACCACTAAACAAATCATACAATCTGCTAGCTTTCAGGAATCAGAGGTCCGTTTCCTTGCACGCACTTCCACGTCATAAAGTTCTTGGTGGTTGATCTTGCCAAATGTTTGTCTCAGATGTAAGTTGGAGAGGCTGCTGATCCTATGGGAGTCATGGCTTTGAAGTTACAGCTGAGGAAGCCGTGGGTAGGATATCGCACCCCAGTCTCAAGAGGAAGGGTGCAAAAATTCCGAACTCTGCTTACAGAGAACCTAGAGGTCCAACCTCGAGAAGACCTGGATCATCCCTCGCAGACGGCTCTCGTCTATGGTTGGACTCTCATCTACCATTTTTCTGCACCGTCCTTGAAGGAGGTGTGCTTGGCCCGAGGAAGTGGGTTTCACCCACAAAAACTTGCAACTTATTTCCTTTTTAGGTATCGCCCACTCTTGCATTTTGTTAAACTTGGGGAACGCACCACCTTTTCCTTGTTTTCCCCCATTCTTCAGCCTGGCAAAATCCAACGGCCGAGAACTTTTAAGACTCCCAAGACTTTGTCGTGTGGACCTTTCTGATCCACAAAAGCTAGCAGATGAGATGAGTTCTTTAGTGGTCTATAAAGGTATCACCTAATTCTGCCTTTCTACTGTGTCACAATGACCGCATGGTTTTCTTTTATTTCATGAAGGAGGCCACCTCGTTTGGTGCTTTGGTTATGGCATACAAACCTATCTTCTACTCCCTCCGCAGTCCCAAGCCTGAAGAACATCACTTTCAGGTTCTCCGAATGTCATTCTCCGGAGAAACCGACCATCCCTTCCATTCATTCGTTGGGCCAAATTCTTGGGGAGGGGACACGGGACTCCCACTGCTTTCAAACTCATTCCTTTCCTGTGCCTTCCTGAGCTTCCCTTCCTTGTTCTTCCTTCCCCCCCCCCATACTCCAGAGCCTCTTCATTGGGACCTACCAGACCTTCAGCGACATGCTCCAGCAGCTGATGGTGGAGAACCCAGTTCCTTCTGAGCTGGAGAGGATGTTACAGGTAAGCATCGATGGTTTTGGACTCCAAATTCCCGGAAGCTCCCATTTGCGTTCGAGGAACTGTTGTCCAAAAGACTAACATTTTCAAGTTCTACAAAAGAAACCCTTTGAGGGTAGAGGGAATAAGTTTTGGTGGGTGCTAGGGACTCAAAAGGAAGGAATGAATATCAATCAAGGGTTTCTAAGTCATTTTTGTTGTGCTGTGCTGTCATGTCGAAACCAACTTATAGGAACTAGTACAGGTCTTTCAAGGTAAGGGAGATACTGGAGTGGTTTTACACCCCCAGTGAGTTTCCACACCTGAGCAGCGATTCGAACCCAGGCCTCTTGATTTCTACTTTGTCACTCTGTCTTCAACAACACAGTGGGCATCCTCTGGTCATGACCAAGTGTGAAATACTACATTGATTTCCAGTTTTCCACTAATAACTAATAATGATTTACAACTCGATTTCCTGTTCCTTTACTAAGGTGGCCCCTTTGTCCTTTATCTCTATTCTCACTTGGTCATAGGTCTGTGTAGAAATACAACAGCCATAGATTCTTACTGTTATATCTGCTTTGATCCACAGAAGCTCCCATCAAAATACGGCACGCTACAATGTCTTTGTCTTTTGCTTTGTGTCATTGTGTTGTCTGATCTGTATGTCTATTGGAGTTACAGTGTGCATTTTGAACCCCAAATGTTCACCTTAGGCCTTTTTCCCCTCCTCCCTCCCTTCTAGCTTTTGACTCCTTGGCTGCAGTCTCCCGAGGCCGACCTGCGGGAGAGGGCGATATGGAGCAGCGCTTCACTCCTCAGTTTTGTGGCCACCAAATTACAGCTGGATGTGAGTAGACTTTGACACACACACACAAACACAGAAAGAGAGAGAGAGAGAGACTTTGCATTTCCTGGTGCTACAAAGAGGGGCCCTAGCTGAGTGTTTGGAGCAGATTCTTTGCCTTTACTTTTGAGAAATAAATACGGAAAGCCATCTACCTCCGTCGGCCACTTTGGCCAAAATCCTGTTGCTGGCATCACACAAACAGGGTAACGTTGGGAGGCCAATGGCTTCGGGTGACTGAGCTCCTAGTGATCATGTGCCAAATAACTTCAAAATAGATTGGGTGGACAACCCATCTTAGTTTGCTGTAGAGCAGCTTGAGACAAGATGATTTATTGACTAGGTACATTTATACCTTACCTTTCCTTCCGTGGGATCAAGCGTGGCATGTAGGCAGCAAACTTGGCTCTTTTTTTATTTTTTATTTTTTTGCTTGTGCGAGTGGGTGGTCAAGCGGATTCCAACTTAATGGTGACCCTTCTCAGGGTTTTCTAGGTAAAAAGTACTTGGAAGTGGTTTCCCCTTCTCTTCTTCTTGGGGCCGTTCTGGGACGGTGTGCTGCTGGCCCAAGGCTACCCAGGCTGGCTCTTCTCTCTAGAGAGGCACAAGTGGGGGTTTGAACTCCCAACCCTCTGGCTCCGCAGCCAGGTAACCAAATGACAGCGTTATCCCAGAATCTCCCAACCAACGGTAATCCAGAAAATACTGTGTCTAGAAGAGCAAAGAATCGTGAGATGTCGTGGAGATAACACCATCTCCTCCATCTTCGCCCCTCTGCAGCCGAACAAGAGGGTTGCCTTCCCCGCCTGCCTCCCTTTTTGCAACCTGACGTTAACTCTGAAATTATTTTTTCTCCCACCAGACGATGTCCAAATTTGCTCGGCTCGGCCACTTAGTAGCCGTGTTGGGCATTTGCTGTGGAGACCCTGTCAAGTCCATCAGCTCCAAGGCGGCGAAGAGCGTTCACCTCCTCCTTGCCATTGTGCTGGGCCAAAAGAGTAAGAGGCTAAGATGATGGGACCCTTGCAAAGTGGGGCGGAGGGGTGGGGGCCCTGCTTCGAGCCCTGGACGTCTTGGCTTTCTTGCAGAAAAGCAAGGTGGAGAATCAATTTCCTTCCTTCCTTCCTTCCTTGCACCCTCAGCTCCTTCCTTCCCATCATTAGTCCTCCCTCCCTCCCTCCCTTCCTCCGTCCCTTCCTTCTATCCATCATCAATTTTTCCTTCCTTCCTTCCTTCCTTCCTTCCAGCCATCCATCCTTAGTCCTTCCCCCTCCCTCCCTTCCTCCGTCCCTTCCTTCTATCTATCATCAATCCTTCCTTCCTTCCTTGCCCCCTCAGCTCCTTCCTTCCCATCATTAGTCCTCCCTCCCTCCCTTCCTCCGTCCCTTCCTTCTATCTATCATCAATCCTTCCTTCCTTCCTTGCCCCCTCAGCTCCTTCCTTCCCATCATTAGTCCTCCCTCCCTCCCTTCCTCCGTCCCTTCCTTCTATCTATCATCAATCCTTCCTTCCTTCCTTGCCCCCTCAGCTCCTTCCTTCCCATCATTAGTCCTCCCTCCCTCCCTTCCTCCGTCCCTTCCTTCTATCTATCATCAATCCTTCCTTCCTTCCTTGCCCCCTCAGCTCCTTCCTTCCCATCATTAGTCCTCCCTCCCTCCCTTCCTCCGTCCCTTCCTTCTATCTATCATCAATCCTTCCTTCCTTCCTTCCTTCCCTGTCTCCTGACAACCCTAGTGGGGGAATGAGCAGGAACAGGGCCAAATTGTGATGAGAATCTGTTTTCTCTGTAAAATTCATCGCTTCGGAGACTACAGAACAGCGGGTAGACAGACTCCTTGTCTGTGGCGAGAGTGGACAACCTTCGGCCCTGGGGATGAAATCCCAGGTGACTCCATGACCTTCCCAGAAATGCCAAAATGCTGCAGCCAGATTGTTACCTGGGGCTGGTTGCAGGGAACATATAACTCTCCTGTTACAGCCACTCCACGGGCTGGCAATCCATCTCCAGGCACAATTCAAAGGGCCCGATACAGTTTGGTTCAAAGGCATCTAAAAGGCCACATTTCCCTTTTTGAGCTTGCCCTTAAAATTCTTCCGGAGAGGCCTTTCTGTCTGTCCCGTGACCCTCACAGGTGCCTCTGGTGGGGACACAAGAGAGGGGCCTTCTCTGTAGCTGCTCCTTTAGACTCTGGAACTCCCTGCCACTGGAGGCCAGCAGCCTGGCCCCATCTTGGCTGTCCTTCTGCAAGCAGATGAAAGACCTTTCTCTTCAGGCAAGGCTTTCCCTCAGTGACCAGCAGTCTGAGAGTGGGTTTTGTGCTTTGTTGCTTTTAAATGTGTTTTTAGTTTTGGCTTTATTTACTCTTTTTAAATATATTGCTTGTTCGATTCTTTTTTATATTGGTATACTTACTGTCTTTAGCATTTAAGTATTGTCTTTTTAAGGATATAAGCCACCTTGAATCCTTTTAAGGAGAAAATTGGGGTAAAATATGTTAAATAAATAAAATTAATAAATATAGTGGTTCGGCTCAGCCATTGCTAAGGCCTCAGAGCGTGTGTGTGTGCTCAGCCCTGGCCCTGGATGTATGGGAATCTATAGATCTCTCTTTTGCTGTGTCTCTAAATTTCACTTGCATTTTCTCCCCATTGCTTGTTCCTATCGTGTTGAGAAACTTTATTTTTAATTCCTGCCTGGAAATTCTTACCCATTTTCCAGATGATTTCCCCCCCTTTATCCCATGCCTTTCTACACATTTTCTTTAGTGTATGCATTTTGTGTGCATTTTCCGTGCATTTTCCCCCTGACTAAAGTGTGTCTTTTGTGTTTTTCTGTTCTATATCTTTCCAGCTAGTGACACTTTTTAAATGTCGGCATGTTTTGCTTCTATTTTTCTTTTTCTTTTTCGTTATGCACCACAAGCCGCACATATGTGCAGATTTCTGAATCAAACTGTGCTTTATCTCATAACTAATCTTAGGAAGGTGTGAAGCAGGTGCTTTTGCCGAGCATCTCGGCAGAATCCTTTTGCATTTCTAGCTGTATTCCAATAAGAGATTTTTTTTAAGAGTGGTCTCTGTTGCGCACGGAAGAATAAGGAAAATAGCGGTACCTATCTGTGCATTATGTTCTGGTATGTTTCAGTTGCGAGGCTGGACGAGAAGAAGATCCACATGGACGCCATCAAACGGAAGCACACCGAGTTCCTGGAATCTTGGAATCCCCTGGTGTTCCTCAAAAACCCCTCCAGGGTTGCAGAGGTAACTGGGGCCAGAATATAACCCCAACTCCCTGCCTAGCATTGGTTATACAGAAGGATTAACAGAAAATTTTAAAAGTCGCCATTAATATGAATGGGATGTAATTAGCAGGAAATCCCAGCATGGCTCTCCATGGATGTCAGCCGTGGTTCTCTTGGGAGTTATTAGACACTGTATACCCAGTGTGATGTAGTCGATAAGAGTGGTGGACTCAGCAGGCCTTGGGAGTTATTAGACACTGTATACCCAGTGCGATGTAGTCGATAAGAGTGATGGACTCAGCAGGCCTTGGTTCGAATCCCCCACTCAGTCATTAAAACCCAGTTGGGGTGGGTGGAACTGGCAAAAGCACTCTTTAAGTACAGTAGGACTCCCATATCCATGGGATCGGTTTCACTTATCCACTCTTTGAAAATATTAAAAATATTAAAAGAAAAAAAGAGAGAGAGAGAGACAGAAATAGGCCTTTTCATGATGTATTTATCAGAACAGACCACTAGAGGGAGCCAGAGACCATGCCATGTCTTCGTGCTGTTGCAGACAGTGCATTGAAAACCGATTAATCCCATAACTGGCCGTTTTTGTTCCATTTTGGTTTTTTTCTGGTCTGTAAGTCAAATCTCAGTCTGCAAGTCAAACCTAAATTTTGCGGCCAGAGAAGTCTGTAACTCAAAAAGTCTGTAAGTCAAGCCGTCTGTAAGTCAAGGGTCCACTGTATTCCTGTTTCTTCTTTTACCATGCTGCATAAAGCATTTAATTTACTGTTTTCAGTGGCTTCCAGGATCCACATGGGATCTTGGAACCTCCCCTTCATGGATAAGGGAGTCCTCCTGTCTTACCCTTACACTGAAAAGCCTCATTAAGGTCATTAGAAGTCAGTTCTGACTTGATGGCACATCACAACAAAGAATGATTAGGGTTGTGTTTTGATTTGGGAGGCCCAGCTGGGGCTGCCAAGAGCTTCCTTTCAATGCCCAATTAAAACCTGGACCTTCACCAAAGAACTAGGGATGTTGAGCTTAACGAAGAGAAGACAGAGGGGAGAGATAAGAGCTGTCTTCCAAGATCTGAAGGATTGTCCCAAGGAAGAGGGCATCGATTTTTTTTTCTCCATGGCGCCTGAAGGCAGGACAAGAACCAACAGGTGCAAACTCGTCAGAGGGAGATCCAACCTGGGAGTAAGGAGGAATTTCCTGACGGGGAGAATCATGAAGCAGTGGAACAGCTCGCCTCTTGATGTGGTGGGTGCCCCATCGCTGGAGATTGTCAAGAAAAGATGGGACAGCCACCTGTCCGGGATGGTATGAGGCTTCCTGCCTTGGGCAGGGGGTTGGACTAGAAGACCTCCAAGGTCCCTTCCAACCCTAAGACAATTCTATGATAAGATGATGATGATGTTCATTAGGGGGGCTGTCTGCAAAGCACTCCAGATGTTGCATTACTCTGGAGCCTTTCAATAAGAAGAAAACGAGAGAAAAGGCACCATAAAAGAGGCCACCCTTCCTTCCACCCCAGATTCCTTAGAATCACCCAAGATCTGGAAATTCTGGGAAGAAGGGAGGAAGGGTGGCAGGAAAAGCCTGCCTTCTGTTCACCGGAATCCACCCTGCTTGCTGACAGATGGTCACAGAGAAAGCAAGCAAGGAAAGATTAAATAAGAATAATAAAAAAACTGGCTAATCTTCACCATTAAAGAACAAAAGGAATGTGATTCATATGCATAAATAATCAAATGAATGTTATTTTTTTATAAGAAAGAAACCCAACAACCCTGCAAAGCAATTATTTCTGGTCTACGGTTCTTGTGGGTTTTTTCGGGCTCTTTGGCCGTGTTCTTCTGGAGGTTGTTCTTCCTAACGTTTCGCCCGTCTCTGTGGCCGGCATCTTTAGAGTTTCATCAATGGTTCACAGAGAGAGGGCCGTTTTAGCTCTTTGGTTTATCACAGGTTTCATCCTGTAAGTCAGTTCTCACATTGAAACCTTGACGTGTTCATCTGCCAGGGGCCTCTTGCATGAAAAAGATAAATGGGGCCGTAATTTCTACCAACCAGCCAAATCTGAAAGACTGTGTCTCCCTTTGTGAGCCTGCCTGGGTCTTAAGATCATCAGGGGAGGCCTTTCTCTCAGTCCTGCCAACTTCACAGGTGCGTCTGGTGGAGGAAACAAGTGAGGGGACTTCTCCGTGGCTGCTCCTTTAGACCGTGGAACTCCCTCCCACTGGAGGCCAGCCTGGCCCCGTGTTGGCTCTCCTTCCACAAGCAGGCACGGATTGGCTGACTAAGAAGAGGTTCTTCAAAACAGGGCTCCTACTTTGTGTGTGTCTGGATATGTGTGAATGAGAGAAGGGATATCCCCCGCTCAGCTCACCAGACTTATCGTCCTGTCCCTTCGCTGGAGGGGTCGGACGTGTGGAGAAACAGGGACGCTCCAGCCAGGTTGCTTCCACAATTGGTGTGACATGAACTATGGCGGCTGCTCACGCAACGTGTGCTACGCCGCAAGCAGTCAGGGGACCGGCTGGTTCTACAGGGGGATTTCCTGGACACCTGCGGTGCCGATATCTGTATTTGTCTCCCCGGGAATGCAAATACGAACATCCCCTCTCTAGTGTGAACATGTTTTTAGAACAGTTTTAAATTGTTTTTATTCCCTAGTTTTTTAAAATTTGATATCTGCTGGATTCTTTTTTTTTTTTAGTATTGTAATCGTTTATATGTTTTATACCTTCTCGTGTTATTTATTTCAATGTGGTAAACCACCCTGGGTCTTCTTGAGGCGGTCCAAGCATTTAAAATAGATAAATACCAACTGCATTAACTAAGCGCTTGCCTGCCTTCCCCCCTGCGCTCCAGGTCTTTGGCGTCTACTTCAGTCCAAGGGAGAAAACGGATTTCATCCTGACAGCGCTGGATGGCCTCACAGAGCATTCCAGGAGTGCATGTTGTGCAACCACGGAGGGGCTTCTGGCTAGCATCGCAAGGCACTGCGGTCCTGATATAGAGAAGGTAGGGGGGTGTCTGACTACTTGTGGGATTCTGAGATCAGAGGGCAGCAGAATTCTGCTCAGCTCACTCGATTTTGGCTACCGTCCTTTATAGCTGTTCATTTTTTTCCAGGGCACGCAAATCTTCTTCTCCAGCCATTGGCCATGCCGGGGAGATTCTGTGTGTTGCAATAAAAGTAACTTCCCCACACTCTTGCGGGGAACCTTTGCATCCCAGCAAATCCCGTTTCTGCTTAAAGACTTCACCCTTTTTTTTAGCTTCTCTGATTTTGGATCTGAATTTTTGTCTAAGGCTCCAGATTTGAATTCCGATACTGCGGCCTTCCGAATGAACTTTATAAAGATCCCCCTTCCAGCTTTGAGAAAGCTCAGAGCGATCCGACTTGGAAAATCAGGCAAGCCCAGGCAGAATGCACTCCCCAAATCCAGGTTTCTTTGAGGACGCAGGAAAGGAAAGCTATCTTAGCTCGGTTGTCTTTTTCACCTTTATTTAATTATTGCCCTTTTAAATCCACCTCTCCTCAGCACTTCATTGTTGTAAGCCGCCTTCAGTTCTTTGAAGACGAGCAGGGTTGGATTTAGGATTAGGCCTCCTTCAGTCTCGAGAGACTATGGGGACATGCTCTGAATAGAGGTCTTGGAACGGAGTATAGTATGGCTGAGAAGGCCAATTCAAGAGGTAAAAAATATTTTAAATGAATAGTTAAATAACGAACCCGTGAAATTGGTTAGGCCTAAAAAATATGACTATCATTTGCCCAATCACTGAGCAGGGATTTGAACTCACTATCTTCCCTGTTCTAGTTTCACATTTTATCCACTACACCAGTGGTTCCCAACCTTGAGTCCCCAGATGTTCTGGGACTACAGAAGACTTCCCAGAAGACTTCCCCCCCCCTCAGTGGTCTGGCCAGGATGTCTGGGAGTTCTAGTCCAAGAACATCTGGAGACCCAAGGCTGGGAAGCACCGCCCTGACAGGTGAGGAGGTCAACCTGTCCACCTAGTTTTTACCCAACTTGGGTCCAAACGATTTCTCTTCCCAATCTCTTCTCTCTCACACACCCTTTCTTCCAGGTGTCTGACATTGTGGATGGGATTTGCAGCCGCCTTGACATGATCCGCCAGCCAAGCGCCAGAAGGCTGGTGATGAAGTTTGTGGGCTTGTTGGCTGGCAGGACGGAGCACATGGACACCGTGATCTCAGGCCTTCTAGAATATTCCTTCCCCATGGACAGGTAATTGAGCCCATTAGGAAGAAACCGAGTTTTTACAGGCCCGTCGCAAATGTTTCTTTCCTTAGCAAGGTCGTCAAGAGGGTGGTGGCCGACCAGCTTCAGACCCTTTTGGATGAAACCAATGCCCTGGATCCGTTCCAGTTGGGCTTCAGGCCCTGCCATGGCATGGCAAACGGCATTGGTCGCCCTGCGTGATGACCTATTGAGGGAGGCCAACAGTGGCAAAACCTCCTTGTTGGTCCTCCTCGATATCTCAGCCGCCTTTGATACCGCCGACCATGGTCTCCTCCTGGGGAGGCTCTCCGAGTTGAGCATCGGTGGTCTTGATTTCGCTTGGCCCCGGTCCTTCTCGGAGGGTCGTCCCCAGAGAGTCCAGCTTGGGGAGAATATATCGGCCCCCTGGTTCCTCAATTGTGGGGTTCCGCAGGGTTCAATCATCTCCCCAATGCTGTTTAATATCTACGTGAGGCCTCTGGGGAGGGGTTATCAGGGGATGTGGGGCTTCGTGCCATCAGTATGCTGATGATACACATCTCTACATCTCCTAGTTCTACCCGTGTCACTCATTCTAGTCAGGCTGGGCGGCTGAGGGCTTAACTTTGAGAGGGGTCCAGAAAGAAAAAAAACTAGAAACTGGGCCTTCTCAGCAGTGGCCCTACAGCCTTGTCGTACTCCTTTCCCAATTTTGAACCAATCAGTTGTTCCATATCCAGTTCTAACTGTTGCTTCCTGTCCCACATATAGGTTTCTCAGTAGATAGATAAGGTGGTCAGGCACTCCCATTTCTTTAAGAAGGCTTTTACCCAACCTGGGTCCAAAGGATTTCTCTTCCCGATCTCTTCTCTCTCACACACCCTTTCTTCCAGGTGTCTGACATTGTGGATGGGATTTGCAGCCGCCTGGACCTGATCCGCCAGCCAAGCACCAGAAGGCTGGTGATGAAGTTTGTGGTCTTGTTGGCTGGCAGGACGGAGCACATGGACACCGTGATCTCAGGCCTTCTAGAATATTCCTTCCCCATGGATAGGTAACTATTAGGAAGAAACCGAGCTTGGAGGTGGACAGCATTGGCCATTACAGGCAATACATTATTATTATCACCAAAGTTTCCTTCCTTAGTCGTAGAGGGGGTAATGGCCGACCAGCTTCAGACCCTTTTGGATGAAACCAATGCCCTGGATCCGTTCCAGTTGGGCTTCAGGCC